CGCCCTCTTTTTTAGTATGTAAGCCCGGACAATAAAGCGGAGATATAATTTGCAGATAGATATAGAGATTGAAGATAGAGATAATCGAGTCAAGCCGTGAGTAAAGTGTGTGAATCATTGTGATTTATAGCATGTGTTCATAAAAGTAGTCAAGTTTAAAGTGACTGTGGAAATTTTGTGTATTGCAAAGTTGTATCGAGAAAGAATAAACTAGTTTTAATTAAGAAAGGACTTGTATCTCTGAAGTTTCTCGGAGAGAATTTATACCGGAAATTAACAAACGACCAGATACGCAACAATATATATATATATATATGCATCAGTTGCGCTTTCCAATATTTCCTTATTCGAAAAAGTCTACACTAAGAAACAGCGTGTAACGACAGTGATTTTCAACAATAACAAAATCAAATTGGTATGTGACGTTTTTCTACCACAATAACAATATCATCTCAGTATATAATGGTATTCTTGAACACAATACATTCAATGAGACTAAACCTTTTGATACAAATCACGTTATAACGAAATCAAATTGGTATGTGACGTTTTTCTACCACAATAACAATATCATCTCAGTATATAATGGTATTCTTGAACACAATACATTCAATGAGACTAAACCTTTTGATACAAATCACGTTAACTGAAGATGTTGCTATTCCCATTCTTCTTAATTTGTCACATACGTATTCAAAATCAGAGGGGTATGTAAAACAGCATTTTCATCGCCAATCACAGCTCTAATGATTTCTGACACTCCGCCTGTTGCCTTCTCATGCAATTGAAAAAGGAGCGACAAGTTGTAAAGATAAAAACAACATGCAAGTTATGGGGTCCACAAGAATATCTGATTCTTCTGGTGTCGTATAAACATATTTTACAGTACATGTATTACGTCCAATAAATCGGGTCCCAGAAACCCCTAGTGATCGTAGGATAAGCATAACTAAGTGTGATAAGTTTAGTCCACCTGGCTTATTGTATACAGGATAGAAAGAATAAACGAAGTTGGCATGGACCAGAAGTTGGACATGCCAACTTGTGAAGTTGCACAGAGTAAGTTATATTACATCATGCTCATTCCTACCTTGTTTGCTCACTTTTTGGTGCACCCATTCCTAAACTTTATTTTTTTTTAATATTTTTCCACTTGTATGATATGGATTGGGAGTACAACAGTACAACAACTTCTTTGTTATATCAACATTATAAAGACTGGAGATACAGCTGTATAATTACTTCACTATTCTTATTGTAGTATTGTGTATTGGAGTAACAACTATATAGCTATTTCATTGTATACTTACTTTATTGTTCCTATATAGATTGAAGATCGACATTAATTATAAAAGCACTTTGTTCTTCTTATACTTGAAAACTCAACAATACAATACCACAAATTTATCAGGATTAGGACCTCAACGTGGTATTTATCACACAATAGTTTCTTCGTTCAAGATGACAAGGATGAGACACAACCCACTAACTTTACTGCTTTTTCTATTTTCTTCTTTTTACGAGGATTGGAAACACAATTCCATAACTAAAGCTTTATGTTCTTTCAACATTTCGCAGGTTGATATCATTTCTCAAAAACTAGTGCTTTGATTGAAAGTTAAAGAGATTACTTCAGTGTCTATTGAGTTTATTACAGTTCCCGTTTTTTCTTCTTAAAATATTCTTTATGAGCTGAAATTGTTTATAGAAGGTTAATTCACATCAGCCCCCTCGTGGCATAACGGTGATGGCTTATAACGTTAAAATTCGAGTTCGATCACAGTGGTGGATTTAACACGGATTTGTGCAGCATTTTATAATAAACAATAAACAAGAATAGCCAAGATGTATATACGTGTATCCATTAATCATCTGATATTAGACTTCTATCCAATAGAAATCCTCCTATCGAAAAACAATTAACTGACGTTAGACTTCTACTAATATCCGTTTAATATGAACTCCTAGAAGAATGAAATCATTGAAAAGCGATTTTATTCGAGCAAAGACGATTACTTAAGCATCGAGTCATTCTTTCGAATTTCCATGTTGAATAAAATTCTACTTGGCGTGTTTATGGTTAATACTTCACAATAGAAGCGTATTACAAAAGATACTCTATTTAACAAGATAGAAACTGCATTTATTGTCTTTGAAAATGTAAATTTAAAAAATAATGTAAAGTTTGACAGTTATGAGGTACATTATGATAACTTATGTTTTCTGAAAATGAAAGTCGAAATTAGTCTTTTTTGTCGAGATTTGCTTCATTTTTTTGTCCAACTTAATAGATTTGTTCATAGACATTCCAGAAATGTTATACTTGAAAACTGTTTGTTAAAAATGACTGACTAAAAATTTATTCAAATGTATTTGTTGGAAGGTAACTGTCATGAAAATATACAAACGAATATAAATTACTAATCGATAGAGGGCTCTTTACTGTATATGAAATTACCAGTTTTGTTTTTGTAATTGTGTATTCATTTAGTAATAGATCTTTGATTAAATAATTTTCATGGGATAAAGGAAAGGGTGTAGCTAATAAATGTTATCAATATTACGTAAATGAACGAAATATTTTCGTGTAAGTAGAAATAATTAGATAACATAAAATCAAGGTTACTACAAACTGTAATAACAAATGTGTATTGTTTCACCTGGAAATCCTCACTAAACACAAGAATACTGATTCACCAAAATAAGCATGTTATTATGACAACCAAAACGAAGAACGTTATATTTATGTAATCTCTGTTTGAAGTATTCTAGAAGAAACATGGCCGTGGATGAAAGGACTTCTGATTTGATTTATACTTCACGTAGGGGTTAGAAGAAGTACAACCAGATCTTGTAAGAGTATACTGTTACAGATCAATATAAAGTGTATCCCAAGTATGTAAGCTTAAGGTCACGTGAGACACGCCCTGAGGCGCGTTGAGTAATAAACAAAAATCAGACAGATCTTGGAGAAAGTTTCCTTAGATTAGTATTTACTGTCACTAAACATTCTATAAAAAATATTAATTTACAAGTTCTATGCTTTTTTTTCTTAGCTGTATAATAAGTAATTACGGTAAAAATAAACTAGTAATAAGAAATAGTAACTAATTAATAATTAGTATTTAATGATCGTATGAGTTACTAACCATCACACCAATAGTGTATCAGAAAAGAAACCCAATAACCCGGAAAGCACTCAGGTTTATGGGTTTCTTTTCTGTTCTTAACTTTTTTCAGTTGATCCTACGTCCATGAAATTGATAGTGCACGATATCTCATAAAGGTTTCTAGCCTTCCGTAGCTCCTAGATATTTCGTGTACGATAACAGCGCCAAAGGTTTTATGGTGCTACTATATTTATAACGCTTTGTATATGTCAAGCGTAGGTTTCTAAAGAAAGGCGTTTTTAATTCATAAAAACACCTTCGTGTTCTAAATTTTCAACATTTTTGAATTGGTAAAATTATTAGTTTAAAATTTTATTTTCGGTACACGTGGTAAATAGGGTATGTTATCACCAGTTTTCTGGGCTTCTATGTACGTATGTCAAACTTTGTGCACGCAGACCACGCCATTTCAAAAGGTTCAAAGTCTAGTTGAATGTTAAATATAAGCACTGTTATAACATATTTTCTCTGTATGCCTAGTTGCATTTGTATCTCAAGTTACTCTCAAAGTCTAAAATTGATCGCATTAATATTCTTTAAAGTTCTGGTCGTAAAGTTGCTGATGATATATTTTATACACATTGTTATGAAAACTAATAATTAAAAAATATGTGGTACATGATTGATTGTAAGTATGAATTCTGGAGGATATAGACCCCTTCTCCGTCGAGTTGTTTGGATTTTTCACAACTTTCATTACCGAAAAAGTTTCTACTTATTATTATTTTTTCTACCTTAAAAATATCCTTTTTCAGTCACTGGAGTTTTCGGATTGTTTAGAACGCCTCCTATTTAATATATGATGAACCTCTTCCGTGTTATTTTTTCGAAAAAAAAATAGATTTTAGAAACGTCTTATTCTTTAATTTATATATAAATTTTAATACGGAATTTTTACACCATGAAGATTATTTTGCATTGTTATATGGATTTAGGGCTAGAATTAATCTCTTAAGCTGGTTCAATCGTGTGAGATATTATTGCTATTACGGTCAAAAATATTGTAGCGAAAAGAATACACTGCATTTTATTTAAGTACCTGTGCTAATACGTAACTTTATTATTGATTTTTACACTATTAAGAATATGTATTTAGGACTAATATCGTTTTCCTAAGTTGCTCTAACCGTGTGAGATATCATTGGCTTACAACCGAAAATATTGTAACTACTGACTCAACGTATCTTAACCATTGTAGGTTTTAGTTTTCTTATCAATGATTTTGGAAAGCATTTACTTCTTAGAAGTCTTTTATTTTAATTACTTCATTAACTTATAACTTTCTTTTTAGTTCTGATTTATAGATTCAACGTACATTGAATCAATAGTTATTTATAACTAGCTTATTTGTCTTAGAAAGTACGGTAAAAGCTCATTGAACTATATGTTACAACGTATGTATTTCAATTAATATTGAACATGAGTTTATAATTTAGGGGCCAGGCATGGCCAGGTGGTTAGGGCGCAATTTGGGGGTCGCGAATTAGAATTCCCGTCTCACCAAACAGGCGTGGGGGCGTTATAATGTTACGGTCAATCCCATTATTCGTTGGTAAAAGAGTAGCCCAAGAGT